AGAAAATGTTAGAGTCTGAAAGAACTACTAAATTATGTAGCTGCTAGGAGATAAATTCCAATTCTAGATTGGGGAGAGCTGGAACTATATGAGATTTCCAAGGAGATAAATACTGAGTGCGTCTGCGGAGGCATCCTGGAAAAAAAAAAAAAAAACCAAACACACACACACACACACACACACACAAAATAAAAACCCCAACCTTCCTCATGATCCTATTTATGTATTATTACTATTTTCACAATTTTAGAAGCCCATATAAAAAAACCAAACAAACAAAAAACCTGGCATTTTTACAACAAATCTGGAAGTACCCATGGATGGATTAAATAGAAAGTTAAGTCACTTTTTTTGAGGAACCTCAATTCTGAAGTTACCAGATCATAAAATCTAGTAGTCTTAACAAAAAAACAAAACAGAAACAAAACAAAAAACCACAACATATGCAAGGCATTGCCTTTGCCAACTGTGGCTTCAATGCTTTATGAGAAGAAGCTACTTCTCCAGGCCTGAAAGGGACTCCTTGCTTAGTGCAGAATCCTAGAATTTAGGACAAAAAGAGGATACCCTGGGCTCTCTTTGTTCATATCCAACAGTGCAGGGACTAAAGGAATTTGTGAACACATAACCAAAGGATGGGGTGAGGGAGGAACTGAAGTAAAAACAGAACTCACTTACAGAGCTGATCTGTGCTCCCCTTACTTTCTGTGGTGTTGGTGGTTCCTTCTGTAACAAGAAAAATAAGTGGTCACTTTTTTTTTTCCCCCACCTTCTTTCTTCTGGTGGGAAGAGCAAGTTCTGGTGGTGAATAGCAAGTTCAAAGGCCTGAATCAGCTGAACAAGATACTAGGGACACAGGTAGGAAGGAGGGCCCTGACAAGACAGAAAGATTCAAGGAGAGGTTTGAAAGCAGGGATGACCCAAGAGTGTCCAGGGAGGTCTTATGATACCCCATGTACTTGTGAGCAGCAGCCTGGCCAACAGAAATTTAACCCATCTGAGGGTGCCTCTCTTTTCCATTTAAGAGAAAAAAAGCCATGCTTAGAAACAGAGAGCACCCCTAGTTATCAATACGTTGAGTCTCCCAACAGGCTGGGTATTTTCTGATCGGGGTGCTGATGCACCAGTGATGAAGTTCAGGTCAGAACCTTCCCCAAACAGTTTCATAAAGGATTGTGTCCAAATGAGTCCTGGGGGGAGCAGAGCACTGAATCTCAAAAGACTACCCTACTATATGGAGTTTAGGAAACAATTAGGGACTACATCCTTGATGCAGAAGAGAAAAAAAAAAAAAAATGACTTGTTGCAGAGGAGGAAAAACAGGAAGACAGAAGCCAAACTCACGTGTATTCCCAGTTGTAGACTCTGTATTCAAACTGCTGCTGGGTTGCACTATGAAAGAAGACAATCAAAAGAAATCTGCTCAGATCAGTAGCTCACAATAAAACTGCCCTACAAATTTGTTGGGTGGCTTTACTTATAGTTGTGACTCCTTTTCAAGTTAGAGAGAGGGATCCAGAACACAAAAAACTACCACAAGGACAATTCAAGGGAGGTGCTGAACAGAAGAGGAGGTATCAACACTGTGAAAAGACCAGGGCTGGGATACTGCAAGATCAACAGGTCAGGACAGTGGAGCATGTTTTGGGTTTGCAAGAAGATGTGGTGTGGACCTAAAAGCCAGCTCTCTGGTAATCCTCTTAATCTTCTGAATAAAGTGTCACACATCTCTTCTGTGGTTGCCTCAGTTCATATTATTATAGCAATTACTTAGTGATTATATTATCCTAACATCAAGGAATCCCAGTGATAGAAGAGGAACTGCAGAACAAACAAGAAAAAGATGGACCTTGCCATATTGTCCTCTGTCACCATTTATGAGCTTTGTATCCATCTTTAATGGAATTAGGAGGGTAAAAAGTCACAGTCGGTGCTCCATCAGGGAGGTCTCTTAAAAGCCATTTTGGTGGCTCTTGGTCTTCACAATGAAAAGAGTGGAAGGTACCAGTACATTACCCCGAGTAGGGAATAATATGGACAGAGACTACTGTTGTCTATCAAATAAATTAAAGTTATGCCAAAAGAGTTTTCTTACCTGTATCACTCACTGTGAATACTTCAGTGGGGAGGGAAGTAGAGTCTGTAAAAAAGTTGGGGGCTTGATTGATACCCATTCTGAAGAAAGATTTTGCCTTCATAGGGAGCTTGAAGGGGTACATGCAGATGTTCACTGCACCCAATCTACAGTCACATAGCTCAAAGCCAGCCATGCAATCATAGATTGGAAGTGGCTTGTTCATATTTGCTGGTGCTGGAAGCTACACCAGGAACCTGGTGGAGTAACTTGGGGCAGGGAGCATAGAACCAGCCCCAGCAGGTTTGGGAGCAGGGAGGGTGTAAAGAGTAGGAAGAGGGCAGCCACAGGGCTGGGGGCAAGTGGCTAGGCTTTCCCAGCCCCAGGGCTATGCTCTGAACATGTGCAGATGTTCAGTCAGCCTAACCTCTTCCAGATTCAAACAGTTCCCTTCCTCAGGTGAAAATAAGTTGTGACAGGGTCCAACAATATTTCCCCTCACCACCACCCATTTTAGCCTCCCTGAATGTCTGCACAGATCAGCACTTAAGTAGATATAAGTGCTGATTGATCAATTAAAATCAATAGTTGGGCCGATCTAAAAAACACAACATCTTCACATACCCAGACACTGAAAAGAAAAAGAAAGAAAATACACCTCTAAGAGGGCCTAGGAAAATGTACAGCCAAACTAGAGAAAGCTAGACTGGAATTTCTTGATATACATTTCCAATGTTATCAGTCTTACATTTTATTTATCAGGAAAAATCCTACTTTTGCAGACCCTCATTCTCTCTTAGATAAACAGCTCAAAGTCAATACCTTTGAAAGCAGACTTACAACAGTCTTTTAAATTTGAAAGGCAGCTGCTGAGGACAACTTTATGAGCAAGATTAATAGCAACCATTATACAGATAAGTGAAAACAACTGACATAAAAAAAAAGAGGGACACCCATGGGTTGTGCCAGCTGGTTTGCCTTTATTTGCAAGGGAGCTGGATTCCACTGCAAAAAAGACCCACCAACATCCTTAACCAATCAAGAGGTCTCCAGAGTCTTCCGATTAAACCTTAACCCCCAACAAACAGGGCCAGGTTTTCACATTCAATACCAACTTGGGCCAGACCACAGAGTAGGAAAGAAAAGGTATGCCAGTTACCACCCTCTCAATTTTGCCTCCACTCCCAGTGCATTTGCATGTTTGTATAACAACTGAAAAATGACATAATTAAGAACGCTGTCTGAAAAACAGTCATCTCATTTCAGGCATGAATAGTGCAGCCTGCACCCAACATGGTTGTCAGCTGTGGCTAGAAGGCAGCAGCACCATTTAAATGACTCTTTGCACCACCTGGTTTTCACAAAAGGCTTTCAATTTTTGCACAGGGCAAAGGCAAGGACAAAAAAGTACCAGTGCTAGAAGCTACTGGGCAATCTAGTCTTGAGTAGTTCTCTTTAAAAGATCTGGCCAAAGTTTAAATGGAAGCCTGGCCTCATCCATCTGCACATCAGAGTGCAACTCACAAAAGGCCTCATATACCCAGGGGAATACACTTCCAGCTCAACTTCCCTTGTGCAAAATGGAGTTTATTTTCTACCCAAGGAGGACTTGTACAATCTTTGATTTTTCCTCAGCCTGATGAAGAGTGTGTGCATGCCCAAAGGCTTGCAAGGAATTATTTTTGCTACATTTTAGTTGGTCTAATAAAAGACCTCTGAACCAAGAGTTTTACGTTTCTCTCTCAGAGCAACACGAATACAAAATAGATCCCTGGTCTCATCCATGAGCTCATGTTGAACTTGGTGATTAAAAAGCCATACTGAAAATAACTATTATAGAATAAGAAGACTTCACGGATAAAGAATGCTTCAGGGCATGACTGAGAGGCACTGGCAGGAGTTGTGTGGAGAGTCCTGGGCTAGGGTAGTAGAGAGGCTGATATTAGCACTGTCATATGCATGAATATTCTGGTGACTACTATCCATTTGCCAAAATGTTTCCAGAACCTGGAATTTAACAGATTTGCCCAAAAAATGCACCCTTTGTTCCAAATTCTTCTCTAAAAATGAAACAATATCACATGACTGAGGTGACCAGTTTCAGTGGAGTGTTCCCACGGGTTCCCTTAACCAACTAAAAAAGCCTCATAGGCTTCAAAGACCAAATTGATAGGAATGGCATGTAAAAGCAGAAGTCACTCAGTGCTCTCCCCCAGCCATGAAAAAGGTGGGTTCCCCAGAGGGGTAAGGAAAAACCATGTCATTTACCTATGCAGAGGAAGAATTGGTTAGCCATTCCTATTCCTCCCCCCCCCCGCCCCCCAAGGTATGCTTTAAGAGCAGCTTTCCATCTGCATGTAACAAGACATATCACAGCAATATGGATCAGACTGGAATAGCAGGAAGGCTGTGCAGTGTGACCAAGGAGCGTAGGCAGAGCTGTGTAGAGGCAAGAGTTTGAACAGCCGTAAATGATAAATAAAAAATAAAAAATAAAAAAAGAGAGTGAGAGACCACACTATATTTCAGTCATCTCTCGTCTACTTTAGGTAGCATAAGAAAGTGTTCACAACATTTTAACATCTGAAGTGGCTGGAGACTAACTTTTGCTCCCAGTATAGGGAACAGTAATCTTATTCCCATTAGCCTGCAGAGGTACTTGCTGGATGATGCTATGGTGATGGGGGGCAGGGGGGAAAATACTGGAGTTTGAAAATAAAGGAAGCTTGAGAAGTTCTCCCAAAAATGCACTTGCTGTACGTGGTTTAGGAGTTAGACAAACAATGGGGGCGTAACCCCCCCCAGGAAAGTGGGAATCAGTTCTTTGATCAAGTGATTACTTATCAGTTGTTTAAGCTGGCCCCAATAGTTTTTTTTAAAGGCAAAGATAACATGGGAGGCAAGAACAACATCAACTCACCTGTTGTCTGCACAGTTGAGTTTTCAGAGTTAGAAATGATGATATCTAGGGAATCCAGCCACAATATCAATTAGGGAGCCCCCCCCCCCCCACACACACTACTCCTACCCCCACCTTCTGGGTAATCTCCAAGGGTTCCTTTTACATCAGACATCACTAGTTCTAGCAGTTTTGTACTGAGAATTTAGCTAAAATTTTCTGATGAGATGGAATTGAGTTCCATGCTCTCTTCCAGGCCAGCATTGATTTCTTCCAGCATTAAAATATAAAAACTTTCCTAACAAAAGGATGTTAATTATTAGTTCAATAAATATAACTTCTTTTGTCCATGGAGCAGAGTGAAGCTTTCTTCATACTGACCTCTCCCTTCTCAATGCTTGGAGGTTGACTGCATATCAGTGAAGCAAGATTTTAAAATCTTACTCTTCCTGAAGGGTGGGGAGGTTTCACTAGTTACTGTTTGAATATTATAACTGGTGTTTTAGGGATACCAATGTGCTTCTGTTAAACTAGTTGACTCTTGGAGCTCTTTAGAAAAAGTGAAACCCTCCTGAAATTCAAATGGAGGCTCACACTCACCTATTTTTGCTGTAGACGCCTCAGTATTAGGCCCAGTGGAAACTGGTAAAATAAAGCAAGATATATTTTCTTTCATATAAAAAAAGGACAGAGAATCCATTCAATTCCTCTTTATTAAATCCTGTTAAATCAAATTGTTTTATACTCCCATGGAGTCTGGAGTGATTGAAATGGAATAAACACAGGGAAAATGTCTTAAGGAATAATTCAAGCAGTGAATGCATACTTGACCATGAGATAGGTCTCCAGAAGAAGTGGTGGCCACTGTTACTTGAATCACTAGATAAAACCAGGAATAATATCCTCTGTGGATCACTCCTATAATGACTAGAGTAGAGAGAGACCATAGGTAACAATCTTTCAGATCAAATTTCTATTTTTTTGCTCTTGGGAATTTGCAGATGGTCCAGGAATAAAAGTGGACCAAGCTGATTTAAAAGAGAAGCAGAAACTATATAATAGATGAATCTATGTGAGGAGGTGAAGGAGTCTGAAGAAACCAAACAGCAGAGACATGACACCTGAGGAAACCCTGTGGTCTTTCTACAGGGACTTACCAATAGGTCCCGCTGTGGCATCTTCCTGCTGGGAAATGATGGATTCTAAGAACAATAACCAAGACAGAGCATTACACATCTCATGTAGAGGGGAAGGAGTTCAAGTCAGTCTTGTCTAGTGTCTTCCCTACAGCAGGGTGGCTGACTTCAAGTGGCCCATTCTGCCCAAAAAGGACCCACTATCTGAGATGTCCACCATCCACAGATTCTGCCCCCTGCCAGTGGGCATACACACCCAGATGCAGGAAATGCTAAGCCCTGTAGGATACCCCTACAGTTGCAAGCTAACATCCTGCAAGGACCCTGCAACTGCACTGGAAGTTACCCGCTTCTCCCTGAATGGGTCTTATAGTACTTGATACTGCAGCCAAGGCTGGTTTCATGAGTTTGTTATACTTCTATAGGACTACAGGACTGAAGTCTCTAGGAAGTGAGACTTCCCTGTCATACAAGTGGAGACTCATCTCCCATATTTACCAGGTCTAACACTGAGGAATCAATAGTAGAGTCTAGTGAAAGAGCAAGAGATTCAAAAGAGAAAAGGAAATATTAAGACACATAAGGGAACTCAGCTAGTTCCTCATTAATACCCTGTCAATTAAACTGTTCTATACTCCCCATGGAGACTTACCTCCCGTCTTTACTAGATTCTACCAGATCAAACACCGAGGAACGTACAGCAAAGCAAAAGCATGAAAAATATTTAAAATAATTTTGAAATATGCAAGTGAACCCACTCCATTCCTCTTTATTAAAAACCCTGTTCAAATGCCCATGGGATTTGGGCCAGGAATGAGGGAGGATGTGGTCTCGGGGGAATACTTCGAAGTAGTGAATGTGCAGTTCACCATAAGACTGGTCTCCAGAGGTGGTGACTGCTTCATTATTTGAATCACATGGACTTGACAAAGCCAAGAATGACCATATGTGGAGACAGATCAGAGTAGAGGCAGACAAGAGGCAAGCCAATGTTTTCCAAATCAAATATCCATTGTCGTTATACTCCTAGATACTTGCAAATGGCCCAGGAACGGACTCATCTGGAGTCAATTTGAAGGATTAAAAAAAATGGAAGACTCATCTATGTTGTTGTATCTACTACATGAGAGGTGGTGGAGCCTGAAGAACTCAAGCAGAGGGCTTCCTCATCTGTTATTTCTCTGAAATTATGGTGGAGGAAACAATTCCATGTTGTCATAGAGGTGTGATTTTGTTGACACACTCAATGCAGGCTTTGCTTCTAAGGAATCTCATATATGAGCTCAGCCAGAGCTAATGTTCATGGAGCTCTGAGAACTGCAAGGCCAATATTTTGAAGTGGCTGCTAGTGTTGGATACTCAGTCATTGGTAGCCCAGCAGGAAGCACCCAAAACAAGTGGCCCCTTCTGAAAGGGCTGTATACCATTGCTCTGAAGTCTCTGACACTCTACCAGATGCTTCTACAGGGACACAAGGAAGTGATGTGGCCAGGACCATATCTAGAGTCTGAATAACCTAGGCTGCCAGTTAACCCATTTGTAAATGCATCAGCTTTCAGCTCAAGCCTAGGGCAGGGTTCTAAAACATGCCTCTGGAGTTCTTCATACAGTTAGTTACCTGCCCCCAGTGCTCCACCATCATTCAAAAAAATTGCAGTCCTACTCTGAGAAGTGACCTTGTAGAGCAAGCTCCCTTAGCTCTTTCTGGAGTGTATTCAAGTTTTATACTCCAACTCTGGCAATTAATATGCAGTGGGATCTTATTCTGCAGCAGCAGTCAGGGTACTAGAAGGGGAACTCACCAGTAGAACCTGCTGTGATGACATCCTGCTGGACAGTGATAGCATCTAGGGACAATAATCATGAGCATTACACATCCCCTGTAGGCTTAAGGGAGACCAAATCATTCTTAACCCATGTCATTCCCTCAGCTGTTTGTCTGACTGTGAGGAGCCCATTCTTTGTGAATAACGCACCATCTGAGAAAAGTCTTCTCCCCACAATGATTTTAAACCACCCCTCCCCACCACCTGCCAAGCGGTCTGCTCCCTTCTTCTTGCCAGTGGCTATCCACACCCATGTGCAGGAAGTGCTAAACCCTGCAGAATACCCCTGCAGTTGCAAGTTGACATCCTGTGAAGACCATGCAGCTGCCTCAAAAAACTATACAGACGCATGTACACTGGCTTCTCCCTGAACAAGTCTTGGCTGATTCAATATTGTAACTGGGGTGCTTTAGGAGTATCAGTATGACTAAAATAAAACCCTCCTGAAATTGAAATGGAAACCTCACTCACCTCCTATCTTTGCTGTAGACTCCTCAGTGGTCAAACTAGTGTAATCTAGTCAAACAAAGCAAGAGATTTAAAACAAAACAAAATCACACATGAAAGAACTCACTCACTTCCTCTTAGTTCTGTTAACTTTTTATACTCCCTTTGAGCCCGACCAGGAGGGTGTAGGATAAAAAGAGGTAAGGTGACCTTCTTGAATATCTCAAGACAGACTCCACCTGTCTGGCTGAGCTCCTCAAAAAGAGCCAATACACACTTAGAGACAGCTCAAGACAGATGACAATTTCGGGTCTGGAGGAGCAGAACAGGCAGTGGGGATGCAAGTAGCAGCAGCCAAGCAGAGCCCAGTCTGCACATGCACTTAGTCTCCTCACACCCTGCTTATCTCACCTCAAGACACCCTTCAAAAACAATGCTATGGCTACCAAGTTGAGAATCACTCCTATAACTGTTCTGCCACCTTTCACAAAAGGTAGTTTTGCTTTGAAATGTGACTATAGGAATTGCTTCTTATCTTCTTAGCATATCTGCTCCTTGCCTGTATTCAGAGTTTTGTCTGCTGACATCTTCCATTCATATGTAAAGACGTGTCTTTTTATACCAACTAGCCTAGTACAGTAGGCAGTCTAATGGTTAGCCTGGAACCAAGTACCTCTAACAAATATGACCCTAGGCAAGTTGCATTTGGTCTTCTAGTGCCTCAAATCCCAACTGCAGAATGGTAGGCACTACAGTGATTGCAGCCACTTCGAGTGACCTTGCTTAGAGAGCATTAGAGCACACAAGGCTCAGAGGAAGGGAGGTGCACTCCACATCTTGGTGTCTATTACCAAGATAAATGCAATTTCCAGTGCTACTCGAGCCAGCCCACTGAAAAGGATGAGACTACCATAGAGGTCACTAAGAGCCAGAGGTGGCCTGCAGAAGCTCTGCTGTTGTAAACAGGCTGTGAAGGATACTAGTTTGAACTTCAGACCTGAGGTTGAATCTGTGGGGTGCCAAGTTCTAGGAGGAAAGGATGTTCTCACCTACCATCTGCTCTACAGTAACTAGGAGAGAATAAGCACGTGGACCTCCTGCCCCCTCATCCTCAACCATGGGCTCTTTTTACAGAATCACATCCCCAGGGCAATTGGGACTGCATTTCAATTCTGATCATTAAGCAGGGTCTCAAAAAAAGGGTCTGTAATGGCTCTGGGCACCAGGATCAGAGAGGAGGCAGGGGTGGAGAAAGGGCATTGCCAGAGAGGTGAAGAAAATAGGGTTGTACTGAAATATGCAGGAAGCCTCCAAGAACAGTAGATGGGGCACCTTGCCAGTCATGCTGGTTGCCTCCCTGAAAAGGTGAAACTTGTACTTCCCAGAGTATTATCCTCTTAGGACAGAGCCAGGACTCTTTTCCTCCCCAAGTCCTCTCATCCAACAGGAAAAAAAAAAAAAAAAAAAATACAGGTCACACAGCAGCAGTTTTTCCAAGCATTAGAAGCAGGACTCACTAGTAGGACGTGTTGTGGTATCTTGCTGGACAGTGACTGCATCTAGGGGCAGTAACCAAGGCAGAGCATTACCCAGCTTGAATTATTTCATCTCCATCACACACTTGTCCAACGTCATCCCCACACCAGCTTGGAAGAGCCCACCATCCAAAATGACCTCTCTCCACAAAGATTCTGGGCCTCAGAAATCTGTTCCCAGATATCTGCACCCAGTTGCAGGAGATGCCAAGCCCTGCAGAATATCACTGCAATTACAGGCTGATGTCCTTCAAGGCCCAAGACTATGCTGGAAGTCACCAAGTGACCAGGTCTGGTAAAGCTCAGTATAACTAGGTTGGGTTTCGAACATCAGCATGCCTCTTTAGGACTAGAGGACTCTCAGGTCTCCAGGAAATGAAACTCTCCTGTAAAATTCAAATGGAGACTCACCCATCTTTGCCATAGATTCTTCAGTGGTAAGCCTGGTGGAATCTAACAGACAAAACAAGAGATTTAAAGAAAGAAAAGAAATTGAGACAAGAGGGAACCTACCCAGTTCCTCATTATTAAAACCTTGTTAAATAAGACTGTTTTCTACTCCCATGGATTCTGACCAGGAGTGGAGTGGGGTGGAATAGACACAGGGGAATATGTTGTCCCAGGGAATCTTCCCAAGCAGTGAGCATCTAGTTGACTAGTCTCCAGTAGAAGTCGCAGCTGCGTTTCTGAATCAATCATTTGCATTAGACGAAGCCATGTATATAAAAAAAAAAAAAAAACAAAACAAAAAAACAAAAGCTTCCCGAGTAGATGAACCCTGCAATGACTAGAGTAGGGGCAGACCAGACTTAGGAGGTCAACCTTTTCCAGATTAAAATATTTCTATTGGTTTTGTTCCTGACTTCTTGTGAATGGTCCAGGAACACAGCCGATAACAATTAGAGAGATTTTTAAAGAGACAAAAGCTGAAGATATGCCAATGGGATTTGCACTATGGGAAAGGGGCTGAAATCTGTAGACCCCAAACTGTAGGCATATGAAGACGAGGAAACCGATTGGGCTCCTGAAACAGCTCCTAAGGGTATTCCTTAGTTAAATGTTGACAGTGCTTTGGAGGGAAATATTTTAAAACCTCAGTGGCATGCTGGACAGCGTAATGTAGGCACACCAGTCCCTACAGCCAAAGCACATAAGGGAACAATGTGGCTAGCATATTCTCAATCCGGCTTGTTCCCCCACCCCGATTCTGAATAAGCTGGAATTCATTTCACCAGTGGATTAATGGTATCAAGCTTTAGCTCAAATATAGAGCAGGGACCAAACACATAGGTAGTCCTTCTTTCTGCAGCTGACTACCTGCCTACAGATGCATGCAATGCTCCAACTGATTTCCCATCATTTAAGAAGTACAGCTCTGCTTTGAAAGGTAATGATGCAGAACTAGCTCCTTTCTAGGAACATCTCTTCTGTGGGTGTACACAGAGTTTTTATTAATAGAATAATGTGGACTGGACAAAGTCATGAATGCCAGATCTGAGTGGAGGCAGACCAGAGGCAAGCTTGTATTTTCCTTATCATATTTATATGGTCATTAAACTCCTCGGTATTTGCAAATGGCCCAGGAACAGAAGTGGACAACCACCTGGAGCTGATGTGAAGGATCAAAGAAAAAAAGGAAGATTCATCTGTTTATGTTGTGTCCACTATGTGAGAGGTTGGTTACCTGCCCACAGGAGCTTGCAATGTCCCACCTTTTCTGACATCTCAAAGCAGGACTGCACTTTGAATGAAGTGACTTCATAGAGCAGGCTCCCTTAGCTCATTCTGTTCCTTGGGTGTATTCAGTCTCTGGCAATTAAAATGCAGTGGGGTGTCTTATTCTGCAGCAGTAGTCAAGGTACTAGAAGGGGGACTCACCAGTAGGACCTGCTGTGGTGATGACATCCTGCTGGACCGTGATAGCATCTAGGGACAATAATCATGAGTGTTACACATCCCTTGTAGGCTTAAGGGAGACCAAATCATTCTTAACCCACATCATTCCCTCAGCTGTTTGTCTGGCTACAAAGTGCATTATTCAGAAAGAATGGGCTCCATTTGAGAAGTCTTCTCTCCACAATGATTTTAAACCATCCCTCCCCACCACCTGCCAAGAGGTCTGTTCCCTCCTTCCTGCCAGTGGCTATCCACACCCAGGTGCGGGAAATGCTAAACCCTGCAGAATATTCCTGCAGTTGCAAGTTGACATCCTGAAAGGACCATGCAAAAAAAAAAAAAAAAAAAAAAAAAAAACACACCACACACACACCAAAAGCCACAGATACATACACACAAGCTCCTCCCTGAACAGGTCTCATCACGTTCAATGTTGTAACTGGGGTGCTTTAGGGACAATTAGGGGTGCACCAATAACGATTTTTTGGCAAATACTGATGGCCAATTATTAACTGGCCATATCAGCAGGTACCAATCCAATAGCCGATATACCAGCCAGACACAAGCTGCTGGGTTGTAAGTCTGCAGCTCCATCCCATGCCCTGCCTGATGCATCCCACTCCCTTCTTCACTGTGGGGGACCTTGATCTGCCCTCCAACACCCCATCTCTCCCCTATGCCCCTTTCCTGCTCCCCCCCACATGGACTTACCAGCTGGATGCTGTTCTCCATGCTGCCCAGTTGCATTTCTGGCCCCATGCATGCAGTATTTATTAAAAATTGGTGACATTATTGGGTACAACAACCAAAAAAGCTGATTATGTCAGGTTTCCTTTTAAGAATCGGTGCCCATCCAATATAATTGGTGCACCTCCAATATTAATACGCCTATATAGGACTGGAGGACTCCTGAAGCTCTCTAGAAAACAAAACCCTCCTGAAATTCAAATGGAAACCTCACTCACCTCCCATCTTTATTGTAGACTCTTCAGTGGTTGAACTGGTGACATCTAGCAAGATAGACCAAGAGACATCATCATCATCAATTGAGATGTGCAAGGGAACCTACTCGCTTCCTCCTCAATAAATTCTGCTAATTAAACTTTTATGCTACCTTTGAATCTGACTAGAAGTCAGTAGGATAAAAAACAAGCATAGGGAAGGTGTTGTCTCAAGGAATATTTCCAAAGAGTGAGCATCTAGTTGGCCCTGAAACAGGTCTTCAGAAGAAGTGGTGGCATCATTACTTCAAATCATTTGGACTAGATAAAATATCCTGTGTGGCCCAATCCTGTAAGGACCAGAGTGTGGACTAAAGGTAAAATCAAATCTTTTTCAAATCAAGTCTCCTATTGCTTTACTTCTAGGAATATTCCAAATTGCTGAGGAATGAAGTTGACAACTATCCAAGTTTAAAAAAAAAAGTTAAGTTACAGGTACAAATACCTGGAGAAAGCAAGGCTCATAGACATGGGAATGGAGGAAAACCTCAAACATGTTTGAGACATAGATGTCACCTTAGAAGTGTAATCATCTTGAACATCTCAATACAGGCTCCACCTGTCTGGATAAGCTCCTCAGAAGGATTACACACACTTAGAGACAGCTCAAGGCCGATGACACTCAACTTCAGGTCTGCTCATCTCACCTCAAGACACCCTTCAAAACAACTTTGTAGCTACCAAGCTGAGAAACACTCCTATAACTGTTCTGCCACCATTCACAAGGGGCAGTTCTGCTCTGAAAGGTGACCATGTAGGAATTGTTCCTTCCTTCTGGCCATCTCCCGGTGGGGTGGGGGGGGACTGAGTCCAGTTTATAGCCCCTCCCTCCCTTGCTTGTATTCAGAGTTGCTGGCTAACTTCTGAGCTTCATATGTGAAAGCATGCCTTTTTTCCCCCCCCTCTAACTATCCTGATGCAGTGGGCAGTCTGGAACCAAGAAACTCCATGACTAGTGTGACCTTTAACAAATCACATTTATCCTTCCAGTGCCTCAGGTCCCAGTGGGAGAGGCTGCAGTGATTATGGGCACATTGAGAGACCTCACTGCGAGAACATTCTGCTCAGGTCCCTTCTGACCCTAACAACTATGAAACATTAGAGTGAACAGGGCTCAGAGGAAGGGAGGTGCACTCCACATCTTAGTGTCCATTACAAAGATAAATGCAAATTGCCAGTGCTATTTGTGCCAACCCACTGGGAAAGAGGACACTGCCATAGGTGTCACCAAGGGCCAGAGCTGGCCTCCAAAAGCTCTGCTGTTGCCGAGGGGCTGTGAAGGAGATCAGCTTGAATCTTAGAGTATGGGTTGACAAGTTCTAGAGGAAAGCTTTCTCCAACCCATCACTAGCTCTAAAGTAACTGGGAGAAGATAAGCATGTGGGCTTCCTGCACCCCTTCTCCACAACCATGGCCTCTTTTTACAGAATCACCTTCCCAGGCCAGCTGAGACTGTATTTCAACTCTGTTCATTAGGTGGGGTCTAAGAAGGGCTTTGTGGAGGCTCTAGGCAGCAGAATCAGGGAGGAGTTAGTGGAGGGAGAGTGGCACTGCCAGACAGGTGAAGGAATTAGATTTGTACTGGAGTGTGCTACTATGCCAAAGCCTCCAAGAACAGTGGGTGGAGCACCTTGCCAGTCACACTTGCCACTTCATGGGGGAAAAAGAAATAAATAAAAGAGGAAGCTTGCACTTCCCAGAATATTGTCACTTGGGACAGAGCCAGGCCTTGTTTCCTCCCCAAGTCATTTATGCCGAGTCTCTTCCCCCAATCTTCTCATTCCACAGGAAAGATGCAGCAGCAGCTATTCAGGAATTAGAAATGGGACTCACCAGTAGGATGTGCTGTGGAGTCCTGCTGGACAGTGACTGTGTCTAGGGACAAAAAACAAGGCAGAGCATTATCCATCGTGAATGATTTGGTCTCCATCACACCTGCCCAGGTGTCATCCCCACACCAGCTTGCTTGGCTTTCCATGGCCCATTCACTCCAGAGAGCCCACCAATTGGACTGACCTCTGTCCACAAAGATTCTGACCCCTCAGGGATCTGTTCCCTGCTCCCAGATATTTGCACCTAGGTGTAGGAGATGCTACACCCTGTAGAATATCCCCACAATTGCAAGCTGACAGCCCTGTGAGGCCCTTGCAACTGCACTGGAAGTCAGCAGCTGAACAGGTCTTGTGGAGCTCAATATTGTACCTGGGCTGCATTTAGGACATCAGCATACTTCTTTAGAACTAAGAGACTCCAAGGTCTCTAGGAAATGCAACCCCCCCATGTAAAATTCAAATGGGGACTCACCCATCTTTGCCATCAATTCCTCAGTGGTAGACTGGTTGGAATCTAGTAAAACAAAGAAATAGACTTAAAGAAAAAAAAAAAAAAAAACCAAAAAAAAAAAAACAAGCCACACATTACAAACCATACATGGCAACCTACCCATTTCCTCATTATTAAATCCCTGTTAATCAGACTGTTCTATACTCCTGCTATGGATTCTGACCAGGAGTGTGAGAGATAGAATAGACACAAAGGAGATGTTGTTCATCCCAGAGATGAACTAATGAGCATCTAGTTGACTACAAAAATGGTCTCCAGCACAAGTGATAGCTGTGTCACCACTTCAAATCATTTGGATTAGACAAAGTCATGTATAACTTCCAGAGCAGACCAATCCTACAGTGGCTAGGGCAGGGGCAGACCAGACCAAAGATCAATCTTTGTTTGTTTGTTTTTTTGTGTGCATGTGTGAGATCTGGAAGAGAGTCTATTTTTTGTCCCCATCTCCTTGTGAATGGTCCAGGAACAAAGCTGATAACAACCCAACTGATCTGAGAAATAAGTTAGAAGTCTGCCTATGAGATTTAAGTTTCCAGATTTTGGCCCCTAACTGGAGGCACATGACGATGAGGAAACTGGTTGGGCTCCTGCAAGAGCTGCTAAGGGTATTCATTAGTTAATGGTTTACAGTGCTTTGAGGAAAATATTGTAAAACCTCAGTGGCATACTTGGCAGTGCAGGGTAGGTACGCAGAGAAGAAAGAAAAAAAAAAATGCAGCCAGCATGACATCCACCTGTCTCAGTCCTGTGTCATTCCCCAAGTCTGAATAACCCAATACATTTTACTGATGGACTATCAGATTGTCAAGCCTAGAGCAGGGACCAAACATGAAGGGAGCCCTTCTCTCTACAGCTGACTTCCTCGCTCTCCTTCATTGGGGGTCTCCTTCACAGAGTAGATGGAAGTGCATTCCAAGCCTCTCCATTAGGCAAGACTTGTACAGAGCTCTGGGTACCAGAGCCAGGGAGAATGAGAGGGGTGGGGAAGGAGGGGTACAGATATAGTGGTGAAGGGTTAGGTCTTTCCTGGAGCATGCCTAAAGCTTCCAAGAGTAGTGGGTGAAGCACCCCGCCCATCACACCTCACCTTCTCTAAGAGATGCAGAGAAGGTTGCACTACCTGCAGTATTGCCCACACAGGGCATGAGGGCACCAAGCCGTACTACACCCACTTTCATTCTTCCTTCCTCCTCCTCCCCCCCACAAACATATCATGGGTGGGCTGGGTCTCTGCCCCCACCCCGGCATCCTGCTTTACAGGAAGAATAAGGTCACTCAGCAGCAGTTAAGACACTAGAAGGGGGACTCACCAGTAGAAGCTGCTGTGGTGTACTTCTGCTGAACAGCAACCACATCTAAGGACAACAACCAAGACAGAGTTACACATCTTGCGCAGAGGTGAAGGAGACAAAGTTACTCTTGTCCAGCAGAATCCCCACAGCAGGCTGCCTGGCTTTCATGGCCTGTTCACTCTAAAGGAGACACCATCCATGATGACCTCTCTCCACAGATTCTACCCTCAGAGCCAGTGTTTGCTACTACTAGCTATCTGGACTCAGGTGTGGGAGGTGCTAAGCCCAGCAGGATACACCCAAAGTCTCAAACTGACATCCAACAAGGATGCTGCAGTTGTGCTGGAAGTCACCAACTTCTCTCTAAACAGGTCTTCTACTGCTCAGTATTGTAACTAGGGTACTTCCAGGATTATCAGTACACTTCTATAGGACCTGATGACTCAGAAAGCTGTAGAAAGTTAAACCCATTCTTCTGCAATTCAACCAGAGACTCACCTCCCATCTTTGTTGTAGACTTTTCAGTGTTAGACCTGGTGAAATCTAGTAGAACTAGAGCAAAAGTGAGATTTAAAAAACAAACAACCACCACACACACACACGAAGACACTCACTTCCTCTTAATTAAACTCTGGTGATGAAACTGCTACACTTCTATTAAGTCTGACCAGGAATGAATCAAAATGATGTTGTGGCTACCAAGCTGAGAAATCACTCCTATAACAGTCCAGCCACCATTCAAAGGGCACTTCTGTTTGAAAGGTGACCACATAAGAATTGCTCTCTCTTAGTCTATCAGTCCCTTGCTTGTATTCAGAGTTATTGGCCAGCTTCTGAGACTTATATGAAGGCACGTCTTTTTACTTTAACTAGCTCAGTACAGTAGGCAGTTCAGTGGGCAGCCTGGAACCAAGAAGCTCGGTAACTTGTGACCCCTGATAAATCATAGTTTAGCCTTCTAATGCCCCAGGTCCCAACCATAAGATGGGAGGGGCTACAGCGATTACAGTCACTTTAAGTGACCTTGTTTAAAAAGACATTAGAGAGTGAACAGGGCTCAGAGGAAGGAAAGTACACTCCTTAGGTGTCCTTTACCAAGATAAATGCAGATTCTAGTGCTTTTTGTGCCAACCCTCTGAGAAGGATGAGGCTGCCATCAGTGTCACCAAGGGCAGAGCTGGCCTCCAGAAGCTCTGCTCTTGCTGGGGTGCTGTGAAAGAGCCCAGCTTGAACCTTAAATCAGGACTGGATTATGGGGTGACAAGCTCTAGAGGAAAAAAATTCTCACCCGTCACAGGCTCTACAGTAACTGGGAGAGGATAAGCACGTGGGCCTCCTGCCCCCTCTATAACCATGGGCTCTTAAAAACAAACACACACACACACACACACACACACACACACCACCCCCCAGGCCAGTTGGGACTGCATCTCAACTTTGTTCATTAGGTATATTCTAAAGAGGGCTCTGGGCACCAGAGTGAGGAAGGAGGTAGGAGTGGGGAAAGGGGCACTGCTAAAAGTGGTGAAGGAATTAGGCTTGTACTGAAGTAGGCAGGAAGCCTCCAAGAACGACGGGTGGAACACCTTGCCAGTCACACATGCTGCCTCATTGAAAAAAGGTGAAGCTTGCATTTATCAGTCTCATCTTCTTGGGACACAGCCAGAACCATTTTCCTCCCCAAGTCACTCATGTTGGTTCTGTTCCCCCTGGTCCTCTCATTCCACAGGAAAGGTAAGGTCACACAGCAGTAGTTATTCAGGCATTAGAAGTGGGACTCACCAGTAGGACCTGCTGTGGTATTCTGCTGGACGGTGTCTGCACCTAGGGGCAATTACCAAGACAGAGCATTGTACATCTTGAATAATTTCATCTTCATCATCACACACACGTCCAGAGTCATCTGCAAACCTGGTTGCTTGGCTTTGCATGGTCCATTCACTCCAAAGAGCCCACCATCTGAAGTGACTTTGCCACAAAGATTCTGGCCCCCCAGAGACCTGTTCCTTGCTCTCTGCACCCAGGTGCAGGAGATACAAAATCCTGCAGAATATCCCTGTCACCCAGCAATTACATCCTGCAAGGTCCCTGTGACTGCACTCAAAGGAACCAGCTGAACAGGTCTTGCTGCGCTCAATATCATAACTGGGCTGGGTTCGGGACATCAGTATGCTCTTTTAGGACTAGAGGACACTGAGGTTTATAGGAAATGAAACCCTCCTGTAAAATTCAAACAGACTCATCCATCTTTGCCATCAATTCCTCATTGGTAGACATAGTAGAATCTAGTAAAAACAAAGCAACAGAAGCTTACAGAAAAAAATATTGACACATACAGGGGATCCTACTCAGTTCCTCACTATTAAAACCCTGTTAAAAATCAGACCATTTTATATTCCCATGAATTCTGACCAGGAGTGAGTGGGATGGAACAAACACAGGGGAGACGTTGTCCCAGGGAATACTTCTAAGCAGTCAGCATTTGGTTGACCATGAACACACACACACACACACACACACACACACAGGTGGAAGTAGTAGCCATGTTGATACTTCAGTAATTTGGATTTGATAAAGCCATGGATAGTTTCTCAAGTATACTTGGAAGTGATGTTGCGAGCATGTCCACCTGCCATCCCTTCCCTCCTCTCCCTACAGCCTCCCCCACAAAGTCCTAATGCCCCTGGATGCATTTTAGCAACAGACTAATGGCATCAAGCTTCAGCTCAAGCCTACAGCAGGGACCAGACATGAAGGGAGCCTGTCTCTATATTTGACTACCTGCCTGCAGATACCCATGATGCTCCAACTGTTCTGCCATCATTTATGAAGCACAGTTCCGCTTTCAAAAGTGACTATGTAGAACTACCTCCTTCTCCCTAAGCACATCTGTTCTTTGGGTCTATTCAGAGTTTTATCTGCCAACTTTTTAGACTCATGTGTGCTGGTTCCTCTATTCCCTCTCACTGGCCTAACACAGCAAGTCATTTCGTCACTCCAGCACTAATTTCTTATGTGATCCTGGATGAATTATTTTGCCTTCCAGTGCCTCAGTTATGTGATAGGGGTCCCATTAATATCCTAGTGAGAACAAGGCTCGGAAGGGAGGTGCATTCCACACCTCTGTGCACATCAGTGTAATACATTCCCCCCCCCCCCCAATCTGTGACACCAGAGAATGAACCCAGCAAAGGGGATGAAGCTGGAATAGGTATCACTGATGGCAGTGCTGACCTGCAAAAGCTTTGCTACTGTGGAGGGGCTGTGAAACAGCCTGATTGACACTTGTCAGAGCCCAGGTTGAGTGCATCGGGTGGCAGGTTTCTGCTAACATGTCACTGGCTCTGAAGTAACAGCAAGGAACAAGGTCTGCTCTGCCTCCCTCCTCCTTTGGGGGGCCCGTTTTTTCCATGGAGGGGCTCCCCAGCATAGTTGAAAGTGCATTCCAAGTCTGCTCATTATGCAAGATCTGAAGAGGTCTCTGCAAAGACTCTGGATACTAGAGCCAGAGAGGAAGTGTGTGCAAGGGAGTAGGGACCCAGCTAGTGTGGTACAAGGGGTATACCAGTCCTAGAGCATGCTTGAAGCCTCCAGTAATAGTGGGTGAAGCACCCTGCCCATCACACTCACTTTTCTAAAAAGGAAGCAAAGCTTGCATTACCTGCAGTATTGCCCACTCAGTGAGAGCACCAAGCCATGCTGCTCCCCTTTCCTTCCCCCTCCCCCATAATTAATCATGTGCTGGGTCTCTACCCCCTAGGCCTGCTATTCTACAGGAAGAATAAAAAGGTAACTCAGCAGCAGTTAAGGCATTAGAAGGAGGACTCACCAGTAGGACCTGCTGTGGTGTCCTCCTGCTGGATGGTGACCACATCTAGGGACAACAACCAAGACAAAGCATTACACATCTTGCATAGAAGTGAGGGAGAAGAAATTCTCCTGTCCAGTGTCATCCCTAAAGCAGGTGGTTGCCTGGCTTTGCATGGCCCATTCACTCTGAAGGAGCCACCATCCAAGATGATCTCTCCCCACAGGTTCTGCCCTCAGAGCTAGTGTTGCCTGCTACTGGCTCTCTGGACCCAGGTGCAGGAGGTGCTAAGCCCGGCAGGATATACCCAAAGTCACAAGCTGGTATCCCACAAAAATGCTGAGGCTGTAGGAAATTAAACTCACTCTTCTGCAATTAAGCAGAGACTCACCTCCCTTCACTGTAGACTCCTCAGGGTTAGACCTGGTAGTATCTAGAACTAAAGCAAAAGAAATTTAAACACAAAAATACATATATGAAAACATTAAGCTTCCTCTTAATTAAACCCTGGCAGTGAAACTGTTATGCTTCCATTGAGTCTGACCAGAAGTAAGTGGGATAGAATAAAAACCACAGGGAAGACATTGTCTCAGGAGTCCTCTGAAGCAGTAAGTGTCCGATTGACCACAAAATTGGTCTCCAGCAAAAGTAGTGGCTGCTTTGCTATCTTGTCCATGTGACTTAAGTAAAGTCATGAATAATATTGTGTGGCCCAGTCCTGTAGTGACCAGAGTGTGGACAGGCTAGAGGCAAGTCAACTCTTTTGGAGATAAAGTTTTCCTACTCCTGTTCCTGGGCAATTAGTATATTTTCAGAATTCACAGCAAGACTCAAAGGACACAAGAGCTGAGGAAACCCCCAAACATGATTGAGACCTGGATTTAGCCTTAGAAGTGTGATTTTTTCTTGAATCTCTCAATGCAGACTCCACCTATTTGGTTGAGCTCCTCAGAAGAGCTTGAGGAAGGGGATTTACTAGTTAATGTTCTCAGCAGAAGTTATTCAGGCATTAGAAGTATGACTCACCAGTAGGACCTGCTGTGGTGTCCTGCTGGACAGTGACAGCATCTAGGGACAATTACCAACAGATCATTACACATCTCGAATTATTTTTATCTCCATCACAGACCTGTCCAGTTTCATCCCCACACCAGGTTGCTTGGCTTTCCATGGCCCATTCACTACAAAGAGCCTGCCACCTGAAGTGACCTCCCCCACAAAGACTCTGGCCCCTTGGATCTGTTCCCTGCTCCCAGATATTTGCACCCAGGTGCAGGAGATGCTACATCCTGCAGAATATCCCTGCAATTGCAAGCTGACATCCTGTGAGGCCCTTGTGACTGCAATGGAAGTCACCAGCTGAACAGGTCTTGTGGAGCTCAATATTATAAACTGGGCTGGGTTTGAGACAGCATTATACTTCTTTAGGACTAGAGGACTGATGTCTCTAAGAAATGAAGTTCTCTTGTAAAATTCAAATGGAGACTCACCCATTTTTGCCATCAATTCCTCAGTGGTAGAATCTAGTAAAACAAACAAAGCAGGAGAAGATTAGAAGAAAAACAAACTGAAACACATGAGGCAACCTACCCCGTTCCCCATTATTAAAGTCCAGTTTAAAAAAAAACAGACTGTTTTTTATAGAGTCCTAGACGTTCATTGTTTGAAAGTATTCCCTGGGACAGCATCTCCCCCGTGTCTATTCCATCCCAGTTGCTCCTAGTTAGAATCCATGGGAGTATAAAAAAAGTCTCCAGTAGAAGCGGTAGCTGAATCACTACTTCAGTCACCTGGATTAGACAAAGCCATGTATAAACTTCCTAAGTGGACCAATCCTGCAACAACTAGAGTAGGGACAGACCAGACTTAAGATCAAAGTGTCTATTGTTTTGTTCCTGGCTCCTTGAGAATGGTCCAAGAACAAAGTTGACAAGCTGCCCAAGAGATTTGAGAGGGAAAAAAAAAAAAATTAAGATTTGGCTATGGGGTTTCCACTATAGGAAAGGGGCTGAGACCTGCAGACCCCAAACTGCAAATACGTGAAAATGAGGAAGAGGGTTGGGATACCGAAACAGCTGCTAAGGGCATTCATTATTTCATAGACATTAGGGACTGGAAGGGACCTCATGAAATCATTGGGTCCAGCCCCCACAACCACAGGCAGGAAGTCAGCTGGGATCAAGTGACCCCAGCAAGAAATATGACCACCTGTTTTTGAGAGCAGTCCAGAGTAGGTGCTTGCACCACCTCTGGGGGGAGTTTATTCCAGAACCTGGACACACGCACCATAAAGAACTTTTTTCTTATATCCAGTCTAAAAATTGGCCTTCCTAGAGTTTATGGCCATTAGAACTTGTTATCCCTTGGGGAGCTCTAGTGAACAGGACCTGGGAGAACATCTGATGTACCCTCTTACGTAATTGTAGGCTGCCACCATGTCCCCCCCGAGCCTTCTCTTCTCCAACTGAAGAGTCCCAAGTCCCTCAGCCTCTCCTCATATGGCCTGCCCTCCAGACCTTGGATCATAAGTGGCTCTCCTCTAGACTCTCTCAACATCCTTCCTGAAGTGACAGGCCCCAAATATTGGATGCAGTACTCCAGCTGCAGTCTCACCAGAGCAGAGTAAAGCAGGAGGAGGACTTCCCTGGTTTTGCTCGAGTTGCATGCCAGAGTTTGGTTAGCTTTGCCCACCGCCGCATCACATTCGTGGCTCATATTCATCTTGTGGCCATAATCAAGACCCAAGTCCCTTTCAGTTGTGGTGCTAGCAAGCATAGCACTGCCAAGCCCGTAAGTATGCTGAGGGTTCATCCTACTGAGGTGCAGCACCTTGCACTTCTCTGCATTGAAGGCCATCCCATTCTTCACTGTCCATGCTGAGGCACACGTGCCAACCAAAATGCCTTCACGTGCCAGACAACCCCTGGCACGGGTGCCAGAGCATATGTTACTGATGTAGGGAGTCATTCCCTCTGTAGCCGACTACCTGCTTGCAGATGCACAAGATGCTCCCACTGTTCTGTCATCATTTATGAAGTGCAGCTCAGCTTTGAAAAGTAATTATGCAGTACAAGCTCTTCCTCCCTAAGCACATCTTTTCTTCAGGTGTATTCAGAGTTTTAGGGCACTTATACACACACACTTTTTCATGCTGCGACATGCCAGGGATGCAGCGCATTGGAACAGACTCAATTAAACTGAGTCTGCTTTGCATGTGAGCCAACATGCACTGTGCTGCATCTCTTGCAGTTGTATAAGTGGCAAAAAACAAACAAACAAACAAACGTCAGCCGTGCACTTTCAAAATGACACCTTCCAGGTGGTTTAGTTTAAGAGTGGACCACCACCATTTTCTATGCACTGACACACATTTTGCAGCTTATACAATTGGAGATGAAGTGCCAGGTGTTTTTCAAAGCACCTGGCACTGTGGCACATACATGTGTAAAAATGCCCTTATTTTCTTGAAGAACATGGACTGGATTAAGCCATGAGTGACCAGATGTGGAGATGAATCAGAGCGGAGGCAGACTAGAAGCAAGCCAATCTTTTCTAGATCAAATTTCTATTGTTGTTACATTCCTGGGTATTTGCGAATGCCCAGGAACAGTAGCAGAGAATCTGCGCCAACTTGAAAGAATAAAAAAAGGGAAGATTCATTTGTCTATGCGAGAGGTGGTAGAACCTGAAGAAGCCAAACTGAGGGTTTCCTCATCTCTTGCGTCTCTGTAGAAATGGTGGAGGGAACCATTACATGTCACCATGGAGGTATGATTTTGTCGAATCTCCCAATACAGGCTTCACACTTCCCTGGTTGAGCTCCTAAAAGAGATTCCTTAGCTAACCTTTGACAGTGCTCCATGACCTGCAAGGCCAACATTTTAAAATAGCTACTAGTGTTGGATACTCAAAGTCACTGGTAGCCCAGCATGGAGGTACCCAAAACAAGTGACCTCTTCTGAAAAGTTTGCTACAAGGGCTATATATCATTGCTCTAGAGTCTTCAGCACTGTGCCAGATGCTTCTACAGGGAAAGTCAAAGGTATGCTCAAGTCTCAGTGTCATGCTGGGATAGTGTGGTGAACCACACTAGTTTGTGGGCCACGGCACACAAGAGAGTGATGTGGGCAGGACCATATCCAGAGTCCGAGTTCCTGCATTGCCAGTTAACCCATCTGTAAATTCATCAGCTTTCAGCTCAAGACTGGGGCAGGGTTCCAAATCATGCCCCTGGAGTTCTCCTTCAGAGTTAGTTACCTGCCCCCAGTTGCTTACAATGCTCCACCTTTTCCAACATTATTCAAAGAGTACAGTCCTGCTTTCAGAAGTGACCTCGTAGAGCAGGCCCCCTTAGCTCTTCTGTTCCTTGGGTGCATTCAGTTTTTATACTCTGATTTTGGCAATTACTATGCAGTATTGTCTTTTCCTACAGACACAGTTAAGATACTAGAAGTAGGCCGTGCCGCAACTTCCTCCTGCTGGACAGTGATGGCATGAGTGATGCAACCCTTACCCTACAGGAGATGTGTAAGTTGACATCCTGCGAGGACCATGCAGCTGCTTTAAAGCCACAAACATGCAAGCTTCTCCCCAAACACATCTCATCATATACTCAATATGGTAACTGGAGTGCTTTAGGGATATCAATATGCCTATATACTACTGGATGACTCTTGGAGTTTCCTAGAAAACAAAGCCCTCCTGAAGATCAAATGGAAATCTCACTCACCTCCTATCTTTCCTGTAGACTCCTCAGTGGTCAACCTGGTGGTACCTAGTAAGAAAAAAAAAAAAAAAACAAAAAAACAAAAAAAAAAAAACACAACTAGATATTACAAACAAACAAACAGAAAAGGTACATGGGAATGCACTCACTTCCTCTTAAATGCTGTTAATTAAAAGATCTGTGCTCCCTTTGAATCCGACTAGGCATGAGTAGGATAACACCATCCCTTTATTTGTTTTGTCTCGGGGAATATTTCCAAGCAGCTGACCCAGATGATCATGAAACAGGTATTCAGCAGAAGTGGTGGCGGTTTTATTACTTCAAAATCATTTAGACTAGATAAAGTCATGAATAATACCCTATGCGGCCCAATCCTGTAATGACTAGAGCCAAGTCAAATATTTTTCAGGAGAGCTGGTCTGAAGAAGTTTTGCTACTGTTGAGGGGCTATAAGGCAGCCCAATCGACACTCAGAGCCCAGGTTGAGTGTGTGGGGTAGGAGGTTTTAGAAAAAAAGAACTTGCTAACTTGTCACTGGCTCTGAAGTGACAGCAAGGATAACATCTGCTTTACCCCCCCTATCTTTCACTGGTGGCTTCCTTCACAGAGTAGCTCCCCAGGGCAGAAGGAAATGCATTCTGAACCTGTTCGTTATGCAAGGCCTGAAGAGGGCTCTGAGCACCAGAGCCAGAGAGGAGGCAAGAGATGGGGAGGAGGGGCCCAGCTAGAGTGATGAAGAGGTTAGGTCGGTCGTGAAACATACTTCAAGCCCCCAGAAGTAGTGGATGAAGCACCCTGCCTGTCACACTCATCTTCTCTAAAGAAGCTTGCACTACCTGGAGTATTGCCCACTCAATGCGTGAGGGTACCAAGCCGTGCTGCTTCTTTCACCGCTCCCCCAGGCTTAAAATCAATTATGTGCTGGGTCTCCACCCCCAGGCCTCCTATTCTACAAGAATAATAAGATCACTCAGCAGCAGTTAAGGTATTAGAAGGGAGACTCACCAGTAGGACCTGCTGTGGTAACCTCCTGCTGGATGGCGACCACATCTAGGGACAACAACCAAGACAGAGCATTACATATCTTGCATGGAAGTGAGGGAGAAGAAATCCTCCTGTCCAGTGTCATCCCTACAGCAGGTTGCCTGGTCTTGCATGGCCCATTCACTTGGAAGGAGCCACCATCCAAGTGGATCTCTCCCCACAGGTTCTGCCCTCAGAGCTAGTGTTGCCTGCTACTGGCTCTCTGGACCCAGGTGCAGGAGGTGCCAAGTCCTGTAGGATATTCCCAGTCGTAAGCCAACAACGCACAAGGACCACGTAGGTGTATTGGAAGTCACCAGCTTCTCCCTGAACTGGTGTTTTAGTGCTCAATATTTTAACTGGGGTACTTCCAGAGTATCAGTATTTTTCTATAAAAATCTGACAACTCTAAGGGTTATAGGAAATTAAACCCATTCTTCTACAATTCAGACTCACCTCCCATCTTTGCAGTAGACTCCTCAGCATTAGGCCTGGTAGAATCTAGCAAGAGAAGTTTAAAACAAAGACACATGTGAAGACACTCACTCTCTCTTAATTAAACCCTGTTAATGAAACTGTATTATAGTTCCAATGAGTATGACCAGGAGTGAATGGGATAGAACAAACAATACATGAAAGACATTGTCGCATGAGTACTTCCAAATAGCTGTTGACCACAAAACAGGTTTCTAGTAAAAGTAGTGGCTGCTTTGTTACTTGAATTGTGTGGACTAGATAAGGCCATGAATAATATCCTTTGTATTCCAATGCTATGACAAGAATGTGGATAGGCAGAAGCAAGTCAAATCTTTGAGATCAATTTTTCCTATTGCTTTACTCCTGGGAATATACCAATCGTTGTCAACTTTGTTCCTGGGCAATCAGAGGTAAATTTAAAAAGTTACAGGTAGAGAAATCTGGAGAAAGCAAGGCTCAGATGCATGGGAGCTGAGGAAACCCTCAGACAAGGATGTCACTTTAGAAGTATGATTTCCTTGAATATCTCACTGCAGACTCCACTTGTCTGGTTGACCTCCTCAGAAGAGCCGTCAGAGGGATTTATTAGTCAATGTTCACAGTGTTTTGAAAAGGCTAGTATTTTCAAGATGGTTGCCATCTTTGGATAGTCTATTTTTGATAGCCCAGCAGAAGATACCCCAAGCAAATCTCTTTGGAAAATTTGACTTCAAAAGTGCCATGTGCCATTGCTGTGCAGTCTCCAGTGTGCTCTGGGATGCTTCTACAGGGAAAAGCAAAGGCTTGCCCAAGTTGCATTGGTGAGCTCGACCAGCGTGGTGAAAGCACACCAGTTTCTATAGCAAACATGTCCAGCCGTCTTTGACCCCAAGTCTGAATGACCCGATACATACTTAGAGACAGCTCAAGGTTGATGCCACAACCTCTGGTCTGGAGGAGCTAGGGCCAGGCAGTGGGGATGCTAGGAGCAGCAGCCAGGCAGAGCCTAGTCTGCACATGCACTTCTCTTCACACACTGCTTACCTCACCTCAAGACACCCTTCAAAGTGAGGTTGTGGCTACCAACCCAAGAATCGCTCCTATAAACTTCTGCCATAATTCAAAGGACAGTTCTACTGTCAAAGCATGACCATATAAAAATAAATAAATAAGTATTGCTCCTTCTCTCAGCACCCACAGTGCCAGCTCACTGAGAAGGACAAGGCTGCCACAGGTGCCACCAAGGGCCAGAGCTGGCCTCCAGATGTTCTGTTGTTGCTGCCAAGGGGCTGTGAAGGAGCCCAGTTTGAATCTCAGTCTGGGTTGAGTTTATGGGGTGGCAAGTTCAAGAGGAAAAGAAAAAAAATTCTTACACATCATGGGCTCAACAGTAACTAGGAAAGGATAAGCACATGGACCTCCTGCCTCCTCCTCCACAACCGGGGGCTCTTTTACAGAATCAACTCTCCAGTGCAGTTGGGGCTGCATTTCAATTCTGTTCATTAGGCAGAGCCTAAAGAAAGCCGTGAAGGATCTAGGCACCAGAGTCAGGTAGGAGGTAGGGGTGGGGAAGAGGGAAGTGCCAGAGAAGTGAAGGCATTAGGTTTGTACTGGAGTACACATGAAGCCTCTAAAAACAGTGGGTGGCACACCTTGCCAGTCACACTTGCTGTGTCATTGGGAAGTGCAAGCTTCACCTCTTTCAGAGTATTGTCCTCTTGGGAAGAGAGCCAGACCCCTTTTCCTCCCCAAGTCACGTGTGCTGGGTCTCTTCCCCCTGGTCCTCCCATTCCACAGGAAAGGCAAGGTCACTCAGCAGCAGTTATTCAAGCATTAGAAGTAGGACTCACCAGTAGGACCTGCTGTGGTGTCCTGCTGGACAGTGACAGCATCTAGGGACAATTACCAACAACACAGAGCATTACACATCTTGAATGATTTTATCTCCATCACATACCTGTCCAGTTTCATTCCCACACCAGGTTGCTTAGCTTTCCATGACCCATTCACTACAAAAAGCCTGCCACCTGAAGTGACCTCTCCCCACAAAGATTTTGGCCCCTCAAGATCTCTCCTGCTCCCAGGTATTTGCACCCAGGATATCCCTGCAGTTGTAAGCTGACAACCTGCAAGGATGCTGCAGTTATGTTGAAAGAAGTAACCAGGTTCTCCTTGAAGGCCTTGTAGTGGTCAGTATTGTAACCTGGGTACTTGCAGAATATCAGTACACTTCTATAAGACCCAACAACTCTGAGGGATGTAGGAAATTAAACCATTTTCTGTAATATAAACAAAGATTCACCTCCCATCTTTGCTGTAGTGTCTTCAATGTTAGACCAGGTGGAATCTAGTAAAGTTAGAACTAAACAGAAATACACATTACTATACTCACTTCCTCTTAATCAAACCCTGTTAATGTAGCCATCATATACACCCATTGAGTCTGACCAGGAGTGAGTAGAATAAACTACAGGGAAGACATGGTCTCAGGAGTACTTCCAAGCAGCAAGTGTCTAGTTGACCATGAAACAAGTCTCCAGCAGAAGCAGTGCCGCTTTGTTACTCAAATCATGTGGACAAGATAAAGCTATGAATCATCCTGTGTGATCCAAACCCCAGCATGGGGGATAGACCACTAGAGGTCAGCCAGTCTCTTCCAGACCAAATTTTCTACTGTTTTGCTCCTGGGAATTTACAAGAGGCCTAGTACCAAAAACAAGCAGACAATCCAAACCATGTTAAGTATAAATATTTTAAAAAAATATACATATATATACACACACACACACAATTTTCATCCATCGGTGATATTGTTTCCACTTTGAAAGATATGACAAAACCTGGAGAAACCAAGCAGCAGAGACATAAGAGCTGAAGAAACTCTCAGAGAACAGACCTGCATCATTATAGATATGCGATTTTGTTGAATATTTCAATGCAGACTCCACCTGTTTGGTTTAGAGCCTCAAGAGCTATGGGGGAAGATTTATTAAAGTAATGTTTACTGTGTTCAGAGGATGGCAAAGCCAATATTTAAATGATTGCTAGCTTTGACTACACGTTGCATTACCAACAACTGAGAAGTATCAAAAACAAGTGACCCCTTTCAAGAATTTGGGGGCAAGTACAATGTGCTGTTGCTGTGTACAGCAGCCAATGAGCTGTGGGATCATTCCACAGGAAAAAAAAACCAAATGTCTTCCCCAGTTGCAATGGCATGCTGGAACAGCGCAATTAAAGCACACCAGATCCTACAACCTCTGACATACAATGTAGTGATATGGCTGGCATCATGACTACCTACTTTGGCCGTGGAATCTAATGGATCCAGCATTCACTTCAAAGTGAGCTGACTGGCATCAGCCTTCAGCTGTAGTCTCGAGCAGGATTATTCCTAAAATATACACGTCTCTGGAGTTCTTCTCACTATAATGGCTACCTGCTGACAGGTCCAGCATGTGTTCTTACTGCTTCACCATCATTCATAAAGTACAGATCTACTTTATGTGACCAAGTCAGTCTGGCTTCTTCTCCCTCTGCATGCCACCTCCTTGGGTGCTTTCAGAGCTTATTTGCTGACTTCTGTGATGTCTATGTGGTTGTATCTTTTTAGTCTCAGTGGGCTGACACCGCAAGCTGTCCAGAGGTTATTCTGGAGTTGAGATGTTGGGTCAATTTCCTATGCTAGGTAATTCATTTAACCTTCCAGTACCTCAGATCCTTTCTGCAAGATGGAAAGTATTGCAGTGATTGGCATCACATAAGACCCTTAGAGTGAACAGGGCTCAGAAGCAAGGAGGTACACTCTATATCTTTGTGTGTATCAGCAATATAATCACATTTCCTTCTGCAATACCTGCACCAACCCACTGAAGAGGACAAGGCTGTCAGGTGGCACTGAAGGCATAGCTGGCCTTGCTCCTGATGGAGACACAAACAGCCCTTCCTCAACTCTCAGAACTGGGGTAAAATTTATGGCTCCAGAGAACGCCAGCACAACAAATTTCTAACCTGGCACTGGCTCTAGTCAGAAAGGACAAGCACATGCCCCCCCATCAGCCCCAAGCACTAACAGAGCAGCTCTCCAGGGTGGGTGGAACCACAATTCAAGACTCTTCACAAGGCAAGGGCTCTGTGAAAGCTCTGGGCACCAACCACAAAGGGGCTAGCAATGGAGAGGAAGGGCCCTACCAGAGAGGCAAAGTGGAAGCATCATGTATGCTTCAGGACACACCAAGAGCTGTGGGTGAAGCACCTTGCCAGATCCACTTGCTTACTCTTTAGAGCAAGAAAATCTTTCCTGGATTATTGTCTACTCAGGGCATGAAGGCAGAGCCATGCCTCATCCCTTCCCCTCTTCCTCCTTACCTGCCACTTATGCACTGGATCTCTGCCCCAGTCTACAGCTGAGGTCATTAAGCATTAGAATAGGACTCACCAGTAGGACCTGCTGTGGTGTCCTGTGTGGAAATGACAGCATCTAAGAACAATAACCAAAGCATGCCATTGCACATCTGTTGTAGGCATGAAAGAAATGAAGTAATTCCTGTCTAGCATCATCGCTCCAGCAAGTTGCCTGGCTTTCTAAACCATTGTCTGAAGGACCCACTGTCCAAGATGATCCCTCTCCACAGAGATTCTGCCCCCTCCTGCAGAAGATGCCACGCTCAACAGGATATCTTTGCAGTTACAAGTTGACATCCTGTGAGGTCCTTATGACCATGTGTGTTGGAAATCACCTGCTTCTCCCTGTAGGGCTCCTTACTCAAAGCTTGCCTACCTGATGCAGTATGATACAGAGCACTTCCACATGTAAGCTAGGGATGCTCTTATCAACCCCTAGTGGAGACACAACATATGCTTGTAGAAGCCTTTCTTCTATCCCTTCACGTTGTCTTCAAGTATCCACTAAGCCAACTATGCCCTCTCCATTTGGCACTGTTATGTCTACATCAAGCATTTTTCACCATAGCCATGTCAACAAGGGGATGCATCACTTTATTCACCCTCCTAGAGGACTTGGCTACACCAGAAAAATCTTTCCCCTAAAGACCTCGGGCAGGGGAGGAAAGAGACAGGAATGGACTCAGTCCTTGGCTATGGATAACAACTAAATACATAGTGGGTTTTTCTTCCCCACATTGGCTGTGTTAAAAAAAAAAAAAAAAAAAAACAGGCAAAGGGAATAGGGACCTACACAAGAGTGTTCTTGGGGGGCAAGGGATTGATTTTTTTTACTCTGTCTACATTAACATTTCTAAACAGTGTGGCACCTCTCATCCTGTCATCCCTGATGTAATAGGGATACATATGCCTTTGCAGGATACAGGCCAGCTACATTCCCTTTTCTGAAGCTGCTAAAAATCACCTCTGGCCAACACACCATCTTCAACCAATGTCCTGACTGTACCCCACACTCTAGGTAGGGAATCACACTAGCCAGTCACTTCTCAAAACCTTTCTTTAGAACTGATATCAGAGTGTAACCCTGCAAGGTTAAGGAGGACACAGAGACCATGTCTCCCATGCCAGATCTTCCCCCTGTCCCATCCCCCCCACAGACACAGGTTGTAGGGTCAGACAGGGTGCATGTCTGTCTGCAAGAGAAAGGCTGATGAAACATTGCACAGATTCCTTCTCCGTTTGGGACCCAATACAGTTTCTCCCTGGTGGGTGGGACACTGGACTTAGCTGCCAGTAGAGAAAGGCATTGAAGGGGGCAATACGGGGGTCCCTACACACCCCTATTCAGGCTCTACAAAACAATGTTGCTTTCTTTACAGAAAGCAAAACAGCTGCTCTTTGAGGGTTGCCTTGCTTCCCATCCCACACCCCCTGCGGCCTTAAAATAGTTGCAGTAAGAGGGAGAAAGAATGCAAACAGAAGGGAAATGCAGCAATAAAAACTGACCCAGTTTTAAAGCACTGCTCTGTAGGGGGGTCACTTGTGAATCCTTAGAAACAAAGCTCACTCAGAACTACTTCCTATGGAAGATTTAAACCTGCCTCAGCCATATACATGACAAAGGAGGGTCTTTTTACCATGGTCACACACTGTTGGGGCAGTGTTACATATCTGTTACTCAGTGTGCTTCTGTACCATAAGTTAACAAATTCCCTATCTAGTTACACAAGCCCTTTGTCAGACACTAGCAGCAAGCGATCAGATTCCAAATGGAAAACAGACAAAATAGTTCCAAATACACTAGGCAACAAGACAAGGATAGTTAAGAAAGAGTTAAAATGCAAGTTGCACTTCTTCTCCTGATGTACTTTTCATTCTGTTTTTTTGCCTTTCACACCAGTTCTATTGGTTGCATCTTTTCTTCCTACCCAAGTTCCTTTTTCTGTTCCCCTTTCCCAGCTGGGTCTCTGCAGGTTTCTCTACCCCTCTCCTGCACCTCCATGGCACTTCCTCTGGTTCTGTGTGTGCTCAGCTTCACTTCAATACTCCACAGCAACATGATGCTGGTGACTGGGTACCTAGCCCCTGATGAGACTGTAGCATTTATTTCATGTCCAGGTCCATTTCTTATTTGGTGGTCAGCCAGTATCTATCTTGAGACTATGCCTCTGACCTGTCTCTTTCTGTCCACCCCACCAAAAGGCATTAAAATTACCTGGGGTTCCTGTTGGAAAAGCCAGCACTAAAGCCAACAAGGCCAGGAGAAACAACATCTTCTTCAGCATAGTTAGCAGCTTGCCTCTTAAGGGGATGCAGTAGGAAGAAAAGGTAGCCAAGCACTATAGTGCATGGATGCTCTCCTCTAATTAAAGAAAACCTGGGGCCTGGGCAAGGGGCATTCCCATTGGCCAGTTCCCATCCTAGAACAAGGAGAATTACCTTATTAGGGAGTGCAGGGGGGAGAGGGAAAGTACAGCTGGTTAGCAACAGCCTGGGAATAGCAACTACAGGTGCTTGAAGGGAGCCTGTCTCCTGAGCCCTTTGCTCGCCTTGCCTGTGGCAGGTGCAGTAATCAAAACCTATTCCCACCTTTCTGTGCACAGCAGGAAGTGGAAATTCCTGTTCTACCTCCTTCACTGGCTTGCAGGCAAAAGGCTGATCTCAGGTAGCTGCAGGGCAGGTCATCCTCCTTTTTAAGTTACACTGCAGCCCTAGCAGATTTAGCATTAAAGTTCAGAAAAATCTTCCTGTCAGAACACTAGGACAGCAAAAGGGGAGTTGTGGGATATCCTGCATTGATGGTTTTCAAAAGCTGAAAGAGGTTTTGATCTGGGATGATATAGGAATAGCATATCCTGTGTCCTTGAGGGGTTGGACTAAATCAGCTTTAAGGTCCTTTCCAATACCAAGAGCCTTGATTTCCTGTGCTCTCCCATTAGAAGTTGTATAATGTTGGGGGAAGGAGATGGGGGAGTTTTTATGAGTGGAGGTTTCTCTGGATCACATCAGGAAAAAGCAGAGGTTACAAGCCTTTCTGACACCAAGGCCAATGTTTTAAAAGCAGCCATTCATTCATCTCAGAGTTGAAAAAGAGACATTCGTCTCATTTTTGTTCCCCAATAAAATAAGATCCCTAAAATAAGTGGCTGTGTCTGAACATTTTGGCCAACCCAGTTTAAGCCGAGAATCTGCCCTCATGGGTCGCATCCAGTCGAGTGCGGATGTGTGGTATGCAGTGCCACAGATCCATTTGCGACCCTGCATGTCGCACGTGCTGCACATACAGGCGTTCATCGCACTGCTCATTTTGAGCATGGGGGAAGGGGGAGGGTTTTGACACCAGGATTGCTGCGCCTTAAAAAAGCAGGCAGCATGCACTGCCAGAAACCGGAACCTGGCCAGCTGGAGTCACACTGGCTGCCAGCCACGCTCCATGCCGCTGAACTGCTGTGGCTGCAGCCCCCGGAGGCTCTCAGGACCCCAGGTAAGTCTGCTGGGGCCAGGCCAGGTGCTGGCCACCGCTTCCCCTACTCTACCTGGGGCAACATGCCATGTGCTAGCGCGCACATGCATGGGCCTTTCCCAGGGACAAACACCAGCTATGCCGCTGCTGTTTGTCCCTAGGGAAATGCACATTCCCACTCTTGGGGGCACACCCATGAAAGTCAAAACTAAAACTGTTTACTTTGCTGAAGACAGGTCAGGTCCTTGAAGAGAGATTCTGATCTGCAAGACGTGACAAGGCAAGAATATCCCTTTTAGGCACTGGTCCTTGTGACTCCTCAGAGTCAGAGCAGCTGCCTGGAGAGAAGACATGGATCACCTAGCCATTTAGTCCTCTGCAGAGCTAGCTCTACTCAGAAAGGAGGAGATGGCAACTCTTTCTGCCAGGCATCATCCATAGCCTTGTTTACTAAATTGCTGCACAAAGTCATAAGCTGCATCTCTGCTGGGGAATTTTTACTATGGTTATCATGTTATCTGAGGCAGTTTCTGCCTTTGGAGAAACCTGTATCTTTGAGCCTCTCCCCTCAGAAGAGACCATGTGGTCTGTGTCCAGTGAAAACCCTATGGGCAAACATGCCAGGGCAGTTTGCTTTTATTTCACAAGAAGTAGAGGGAGCATGACAGTTGGCATATCTCAGATAAAAGCACATCTACATCCCTTTTCAGACTTCCCCAAAGATCTGTTTGCTTAACATCAAGACTGAGGGGAAAAATTAGAGGGAGTTGATTAGTGCCTGTTCTGTCCAAACGAGCTACAAAATATTGCACAGATTGAAAGAGATAGGAGGGAATGGAACAGGGTAGGGGGCTTGGAAGGGGGTATCAGTGGGAGCAAGTGGGATAAAAGAGAATACAAGAAAGCCTATAAGAAACACACTTACAGACTGAAGAACATTTCCTGACCAGGTGGAACTACTGAACTATGCAATAATCTCACACGGAGCATGGCAAAAATAGGAAGCTATAGGGCATTTTTACATGTGCTTGGGTACGGGACATTGTAGTCAGAGTGGCTCCAAGAGCCATTCTAATTAAAGCGCTCACAGCATCTCAATCCCCCTGCTTCAAAATGACAGCAAGGACACTTTAACTAAAGCTTATTGAATAAGCTTTAGTTAAAGCACCCCCGCCACCATTATGAAGTGCAGGGCTACTGATACACGAGACACAGAGGCTGCTGAAGGAGCACTAATTAGCTCTGATGCGCTGTAATTATAGCACATCAGAGCAGCCTTGCCACATGTCTACAGGCATGTTATTTGAATGATGTGTCTCACTGAACCCAAGAGCCTGCCTGGATTTGTTAAGAAAGTTCTCTCCTGAAGCCAACAATATTGAAGAAATAAAAGTTTATGAAGCTGAATATATACGAGGATGCTCATCCACAGTACAGGCATGCTGAGTTCATCATTAGGTTTGGCTTGGTTTGGTTTGGTTTTGTGACTAGCAATTAAGGGAAGAAAGGTGGAGCCCAGACCTGGGACCCAGCATATCATATGCTTGGATATTTTTATTTCCATTCATCATGTAAAACGTTGTGTTTTGAACTAACCAGCATTGAATCTCAGCCATCCTGCATTCATGTGTGGGCCAACAGGCAGAGTCAAAAGTTCAGTAAGTGAAGAGGAAACAGTACAGAACAAGTGTTTTCTCAGGCAATATTCTCATTTCATAGTAGCTCTCAGCTGTTTGGCCTCCTGGATCCTGCCTAATTACATAGGCAGTGTGTCCAATACACTTTATGTACTTGTCTTAAAGGCCAAAGGCAGCCTACAGGAAATGGATTTTTCACTTCTTGCCCTTCATTCCAGTGAGCTGAGAGCAAGGTTTTAAATTTGCGCACAAGGTAACAGAAATTAGATCATCCCTCATTAACTTGCCAACTTTGTTCTCCCCCTTCCTGCTTAAGAGTCTGCACAAATCCTAAATTAGTGATCAGATTATTCTGCCTTTAATTCTGTGAGTAGCCCCATTGAAGTCAATGGGATTGCTCAAATGGATAAGACTTGCAGGACTGGTTTCTAGGACTGCAAGCACTGTTAGCTCCATCTGATGTGTAAAGTCAAAGGGTGATAAATCAGAGTTTCGATACAAATGCATACATACTGAAACTAGCATCTCCCTGCCCTTTCTGGTAATTGTCAGACTCAGGAAATAACTTTGGATCTTCTGGGTTTTTCCATCAGATGACAGGGATCAATGATATTTTGCACCTCTGGCATCTTTCTTTAGAGGGCACAAGCATATACAAATACTGGTCGAGTCTCCCACGAGCTCTGGACTTCAGGTCTAATCTGCTTCCTTAAACAGGTGGATTGAACCAAGAGATGGTGAGATGGAGAAAATTCAGAAAAGGCGCACACAGCAATGCAAAAGCAGAACCAGGAATAGGATAGGATGTGAGGTTTTGAGTGTGTTTTTTTTTTTAATTCTGTCTCACATCTCCAGGACTTTGGCAAGCAAAGACAAGCTTGCCTCTGAAGGATCTATTCTAGGTTTTATGGTGGGCCCAAATTACTCTTGAACAGTTCTCTGGGGCTCAGATATATTCTAATCCAGCCTAGCTATCCCCAGGATAGCACAGCAGAGGTCAGGGTGGGAGTGAGGATGGGGACAGGAGCCAGAATTTCAGTGGGAAAGGGCGGCTTTGTGCCATATTTTTATTCCACTGATCAAGTTATTAGCCACGGCATGACTAAGGCTATAAGAAAATTATCACTGAAATTTTAATGAACAAGAGGACAGTATTTTACACATGGCAGGCTTTGTTTGTATCAGGCACTAAGGACTAACAGATATGTGTTAATTAAAACATTTTCTGTGCTTTAGGGTTGTTGGTTGTAGCTGTGTTGGTCTAAGGACATAGGAAGACAAGGTTCCTTGGGCAGATGTGATATCTTTTATTCTATTTAGTTGTTCTAAAAAAAGATATCACATCTACCCAGAGAACTTTATCTGCTTAATTAAAACATGATTGCTAACACATTTTAAGCAAGCACCATGCTGCTAGTTCAGGCAGAGCGAAGGAGCCAGCAGAACTTAACAATGCAGTTTGCTCTACCCAAGGCCCCTTTTGCTTTTGTTATTATTGGCCCACAACTTATATCCCATGCTCTGGGACAAGCCACCTACATAGGGGGGTAAAGTCATGCCAGTTTGCCCAATCCTTCTGGCTTGGCCACACACAGAAACAATAGGAATGGAAAGCACTAGGTGTTACCAAATACCCATGGTCTGCTTGTCCTGGCCTGGCCCCGATCCGGCCACATGGCAACATCCTGGCCCAGCCAGGCCCCAATCCAGCCATGCAGGGCTTGGATATCTGGCAGTGAATGGATGAGTGGGGGTTGCAATGTTAATTACCACCACTTCCCCACTGCCAAATTGCCCAACCCGGAGGAAGCGCCACAGACCAGATGCCATAGCTCCATGGGCCAGATTTGGCCTGCTGGCCAGGGATTGAATACCGCTGGTCTAAACCTTTTCATCCTACAGGCCATATGAGTGGCACAGGGCTGGTCTATGGGTCAGATGGGGCTCTGACTGCCAGAGTCAAGATCCAGCTGACTTGTATGCCCAGACCAGGCCCTACACCACCCCACACACTAGGATCAGGCCCTGTGCTGCCCTGCATGAGGAGATCTGTGCTGTCCTGAGTGCCCAATCTAGCATGCAGGGTCATACACATAGGACTCCCCATGCGTCTGGAAATTTGACAGCAGGAAAGCAGCAACTGCTGATCTGATGCCAAATTTTCAGGCCCATGTGGAACCCAGCGAGCATGATGACATGGCTCCAGAGGCCAGATGTGGCCCATGGGCCAGGGGTTGAGCAACTGTGACCTAAA